ACTTTCAGGGAAAATACATTAATTTAAAGTATACTGGACTCGCGAATACCAATTAAAAATTTCAGAGCAAATACCAGTTAGGATTAATCTAATAACATTAATATATTAATAAAAATATGTCTAATAATTTTGAATAAATATTTAAAATTAATTTTTGTAAAATTGAAAATAAACTTGAAAAATCGTTTACTCGAAATTTTATAAACAAAACTTCCGATTGTTAATTTCAATGCAATATAAATTTAATTATTATACATTATTTGATATCTAATTGTGATTAATCTTCACTCTCTTTCTCTCTTTTTCTTTTTAGTCTATGAAATTACACTAATTCTGTAGTAAAAGTGCAACTTTGCAATGATGCATACACGTGACTCAGCGCATCACAAAATGGCGTCTCTGGCTAGGAGTCAACTCTAACTTCTATGAACGATTGTTCTCGAAGAGATCTTGCAATCGCAGTGTAACAATACACAGGTTCCTCCAATGAGGAAGCAGTTTATTCTCGGAGTACAGAGTCACTTTTCCTCGGATTTGTTCATTTCCAACGGTCTGCAATTTTCCCGAGAACACAACAAGCACGAACGAATGTTTAAGTGCAGTGTGATTTCTGCGAAAGTGCAGAAAAAATAACTTATGTTGAGTTACGTGTATTACCTTGAAAATGATATTTCCAGGTAGTAAAACAATACATACGTAAATTCGCGACGTTGCGTAAGGCTTCCACTTGGCACTTTGCTAACTGTTTAACGATTGATGTTTGAATCAGTCATCTCGAGCCGAGTGTTTTATAAATTTGTTAAAGAATTTTAAAATAAATAAATTTTGTCGTAGAAAAGTGATACACTTAAAAAGAATATGTAATAATATTCTTGTTACAATATTTCTCTGCGAAAAAAATTATTCCTACAATTTACTCAACGAATTTGAAAACTGACAAAGTCATTATCAATTCAATAATCTTTCATGTTTGTTAATTACAAGTTTCACGTTTGTTAATTACAAGTTTCATGTTTGTTAATTACAAATTTTATGTTTGTTAATTATATGCGAAAAGATTTGAATTAGAAATTTACTATTATTTTGAAATATTACTTTACTTTTGCATCAAGCGAATTTTATAGATAAAATGCATTTCATAGATAAATTTCTGTAGAGCAGATGGTATGATTTAGAAGAATTTAGTAATTATATTATTTCAGAGAATTAGTTGAAAAAATTAATTTTTTTCTATTTGAAAAAGAAATCATACACAAATATAGAATTATATTCTCTAAAAGTGAATATTATCGATTTCGGTGCTATAACTGTAATTATCGTAGATGAATATTTATTAGAGAAGATTGAAGATACACGTGTAATTAATATTCGTATCACGTGTAATTATATCCATTTCAATGTATATAATTTTTAATACACGGTTACACAGGTACTGAAATACACGAGTACACAATGAAGTGTGTTTTAATCTGCAGAAATTAATCTCTAAATTATCAGATTAAGGCGGTATTCCAAAATTCACTGTCAGTGCTGAAAATGTATGATATATGTGACGTAAACTGTAGATTTTTAATATTGACAATGAATTTTGAAACACAGCGTAAGATAAAGATCATAACCTCCAAAAGTAAATCAGTGTATTATCACTGAAAAACAGTAAATATTTGCTGATGATTACATTAGTTATAAATGTACCATTGAAGTCACTGATTCATTTTTAGAGAGTATCGTTTTTATTTTTGTTATATGATTTTTATAATATAATGAGAGAGAAAGAGAAAGAGAGAGAAAGAGAGAGGGGAGGGGGAGAGAGAGAGAGAGAGAGAGAGAGTAATGACTTTTTTAAAATAAACAAGACAGAGTATCTTGCTCTGATACACGCCTGATAAAATGCCTATCTAAGGAAATCGAGAGGTGTTGAACATTGGAATCGTCACCGAAGCAGAGAAGAAGCGGCAAAAAATGCATTATTCAAGCGAATTTCCATTTCGAGAGAAGTCCGGATAGCTACATCGTTAGGTTGCTCTCTCACCGGCGCTTTAATGACGGTTTGCTCCCTTTGCTTTCGTTTCTTATAACGAGAAGCTTCGACGTCGTCGTTACGCGGTACTCGCGCCATATCACTCGCAAATAACGACGCGGTCAAAATCCCTTTCGCATCGTCTGCGCGTTTTGGAGAATACTTGAGAAATTTACTCCAAGCTTCCGATTTGAAACGCAAAATATTTTTGAATGATTTAATCATATAAATATTTGTGTTTTACAGGAATTCTTTTTTGTGCACGCAAGGGGGATACATACGCAAGAGGAAAGAACGATTTTGCTGAAATATCGAAAAATTTAGCTATGGATATAGATCTGAAAATAACTTTAGTTAATATTTTTCACAATAAAATTATTTATAAGTTTTAAGATGCTTATTTCAACATTAGATTATTAAGATCTTTCTAAGATATCTATAAATATCAATATTATTGTCAGTGATTGTCAGTTTAATTTGTGATATTAGGACCTAAAGTAGTAATATCACAAAGAAATTGCGTTTCAAGACTGAAAATTAAACTCGGCGCACAGTTTGTAAGATTGAATGTATATACATATATAAAGTCACATCGAATTATTTTAGCACTAGTAATAATGAAGATCCAGTTTAGGATCTTAACTTCTTATTTATTGTGTGTTCATATTATGATCTTAAAAGATATTTTGTTTGATATTAAAAATAACTTTATTGGACCATCAAAATAATTATGTAGAAATCTTAAGCATGATGTGCAATAATATGCAAAAAATTTCAATTTTGTCAATTTAAACATTCTCCATAATTATTTTTATCTAAATAAAATTATTTTTATGGTCTGAATAAAATTATTTTCAAATCTGTATTCGCTAAATTTTTACAGATTTCAATAAAATCGTCCTTTCCATGTAATTTAAGATACCTTTTATCTTTAATCTAATAAAGAAGGTAATAGGTTTTGTAAGTCCATCATATATATTAAACTATTTTCAATAAAAATTTCGTATAAATATGTTTATAAAAAAATATCTGTATGTAAGAAAAATTAAACTGCACATAAGTAAAACACAAAGGAATGTTGATACTTTATTCTATGTAAATTTGCACTTTAGATTTGTATAAAACTTCTATTAAAGTTATAATAAAACATTCAATAATTACATTGTATATTTCTATTAAATTTGAAGTAAAAATTTAATAATTGAATATTGATATATAATAATTAAATATGTAGCCAATTTAATTAAACAATTTGATTTTTAAATATTTTCAAAAATGTAATAAATTTGAATATTTTGTTCGATAAGTAATCACGTTTAATATTTTTCACACTCTATAATTTCTTTTTCTTTTATTCTTTGAAATATTTTTATCAAATAGGTACGAGCTCATGAAATTACGTAGCGATGGTGCACGACTGTCCGAATGTAAATTTTTTACCGATTTATACTTTTGAAATTCGTCACGCGCTCGCAAAGTTGCGGGAAATTAAAAAAAATATTCGTAGTCCCAATTTTACGGGTTATATGCGATGTGTCCATAGAGACGGTTCTATTTCATCTGGGAAAAATGTAATTCAGCTTGGAAGCTTTGAATGTGATTTCGAAATAAAGTCACGACCGCCAATATTGCAAGACAAATAATTGCGCTTGCAAAATTCAGATCTCTACGGGGCCAATGACCTTTCCTGTTATCCAGGACGATTTTCCATGAAGCATAAAAAGTTGTATGAAATTTTTATCGCCTGCACATCAGCAATGTCGCAGGTATGAAGCATTGTATTCACATTAATTTGAGAATAAAACAAATGTAACGGATATAGGCAAATATGAAATACATTTCAGAATTGCGAGAAAGGTGTGACAATTTTATAGGACTCTGTACATAATAAAAAAATACAAGAACGGGTGCAATATATATATATTTTACAACCGATATGTAACTGGTACTGCCAGGATATGGGGTGTTACGTTGGCATTTCCGCCGGCGACATTAACGATGACGACGAATTGCGATTAGAACGAGCGTAGAGATCGAACTCTCGTCGTGTAGCTGCGTGTAGCGGAGTTAAGTTAATTCAACTGGACACGCTGATAATGCAAGTACCTTACACTGTCGTTTGTGCAATTCGCGCTTTGTGTTATTGCTGCATCGATTTTGTATGCACACGCGTAGGTCGCGCACACCTAACCCCTCTGGTCGCGCGTGCGAATCCCTAATGCCACTCTTGACGTATTAAGTTCTATCCTTAAGACCGACACGCGCGATAACATCGAGGAATTACGAGTTACCTCAATTTCGTTCAGGTGTTCTCTTTAGGAAATGTAAGTTACATATTATAAAATAAATTATGAACAATTTTACGTATTTTTGTAAATTTAAAAACAAATTATTATACATGTAACTTGAATAATATATGATATATTTTTTTGGAAGGATAAGAACCTTCTATTTTTTAGTTTTAGAAATTAAAGCACTTTAGGCCCGGTTTTTCTAATTAATTTTCTAATTAATTTGTGGTTAGCCTTAATCTGATTCAGCTAATTGCAAGTTAACTGAAAATGAAAAATCGTACTTGAAGTGCTTTAATTTCTAAAACTATTGTCATCAATTAAAATTGATTATTATCAAGTTAAGTCATGTTAATTTTATATCACAACTAGAAAATATTAAGGGATAACTTTTTATTTTATAAATGAGAAAATTTGCACAAAAGCAAATAGTTTATAATTAAATTTAAATTAAATTAAGATTTTTAAAAACTAAATGTTAAGAGATAGAGATAGATAGATAGATAGAGAGATAGAGAGAGAGAGAGAGAGAGAGAGAGAGAGAGAGAGAGAGAGAGCAAAATAAAAGAAGCTGTACTTATCTATTTCTATATGAGGATTATAATAACACTTACACAAGTAATCAAATAAATAGATATTTTTTAAATATATACGTATGTTTAATAAAAATTATTTTTTTTTATTTCTAGACAGCAACTCTTCCTTGGATACACTGGATTTGAGCCCGCATCATCATTATTATCATAACAATTCGAACGGCATTGCTAACTCCACCACGTCCGGTGGTCTACAAGAAATCGAGATGAAAGAGAAAAGCAAAAACGCAGCGCGATCGCGCCGCGTTAAGGAGAATCAGGAGTTTTTCGAGCTGGGAAAGCTGCTACCACTTCCAGGCGCCATAACTACACAATTGGATAAGGCCAGCATTATCAGACTAACTACCAGTTATCTCAAGATGAGAGCCGTTTTTCCTCATGGTAACGAATATGCCTATTTGGTAAATCTTGCTTTTATTTGTTATAATTAAGTCTTTTATATTAAGTGATCAATTAATGATTGATGAATAACAATATATTTATCAACATAAGTTACTTATTTAGCAAAATCAATTTAAATCAAAACGATTGTGTTATTCAAACTGCAATAATTGAGAGTTAACAGCCGCAAATCAGTTTGCGTTCTTTTTTATTTTTTTACCAATTGTAGGGCTGGTTACTCATGAATTTAGCAACCGGACTCTTACGCGCAAAGGGCAAATAGTATCGGATGAGATGGATGTGATTGCGCACTTAATGCATTGTTAGTCCCCGGCGCTTTGTAAGCAAAGCATGGGGGCCGTTATAGTGTTACAATGGCCTCCCCAGTTCGATTCCCCCTCTCACGACATCGGCGAATTGAATTTCAAGTGGCTGCATCCCTCTAGAACGACCGTCTTTATTCTCGGAGAAAAAGAGACACGGCGTCCTCACGATGACGCTTTTAAGGGCGCTTCCTCGCGCGCTTTGTCGAAAGCGAGCGTGAAATTTCTCGAGAGGCCGATCGTCGATTATTATCACAAGATTAACCCCTTACAATTCGAAACAATCGGAAGTAAATCAATATTAATTGATTAAAATAGGGAATAATGTCGATTTATTAAATCATTGTATGATTATGACAATTTCTGCAATAGAGATATTCAAAGATAATATCGATATCATTCGTCAAATCTCCATTGGATTTATTTTTAACGGTTCCTCACATTCTAGCCTATACTTCACACTCGTTATATTGAATTCCAATGATGTAAAATTTTTGATGCAGCGTAACGATAGCAAAGGACTTTGTATCAAAGCTGTTTCTCTCTTCAAGATGGATCGAGCTGTCTGTCAAACACACGCCATTGTACATTGATATAATAATAATAAAGATCATAAAATCTGACACGTGTCGTGTAGCGTGAAACAGCATGATCGACAATTCTTCCAAGGAATGCGTTGATAATCACACTTGAGGAAAATATGTTCCACGACGTTTAAAACGTCGCACTCGAATATGAACACGTGACACGTGACATGAGAGACTCTCGAAATTTATCAAGTATGAGAGCGAATTTAATTTATCATTAAATTAGATTTGAACTTCTTCGAATGCTAACGCATTTTCTTTATGCGTTTTCAATCATTCAAAAAGCGTTTTTTAATTTGCCCTCGTTCCCTTGGCTTATCTCTTACTTTTGCATTTGTTAACGTGTCTCTAATAATATTTAAGAAAAGTGGAATAAAAAACTTCATTGGTAAAAAGACGATCCACAATTTTCGCAAACTCTTACATGACGATAGAAAATGCTTCTGTTATATTACCATAATTAATGCATAGACACGTTTTTTTTGTTGTAGATTTAATTATATGTTATATATGAAATATATCACCACGAACATTCATATCAGATAAAAAATAAAAAAAAAAGATCGGAATATCGGTTTAACTCTTATGTTTCTTTTTTATTTAATATGTTCCTTTTTAATATAAATGTTAAAAATTCCCATATTAAAAAACCTACACAAAAAGTAAAAAGAACTTCAATTTATAAGAAGTCAATTATTCATATAAATTATTACTATAATTATAATTTGAAAAGTAAATTTAATAAAAATTATGTAGACGCAATAATCAATACGTTTTACCTAAAGAAAGTACACCTTCCAATGGGCGTATTTTTACATTCAAGATTAAAAGCAGAAGACTGATTCCTTCAAATCAATTTTTCAGGTCTAGGAGACGAATGGGGTGCCGCGCCACCGCCCAAAGAGACTACCATTAAAGAACTCGGTTCGCATCTTTTACAAGTGAGTAATTTTTATTCATACCCTCACCAATTCAGAACGCAAATATCTAGTATACATTTATTTTCTGCTGAAAAATTAGAAAATTTAATGGCTTGAAAACACGCTTATTTATTAAATTCATGTGTGAAAGTCATAAATTAACTCCATGATAACGAATTGTTTCTGTGTTTTGTAGACACTGGATGGTTTCATCTTTGTCGTGGCACCGGATGGAAAAATTATGTACATAAGCGAGACTGCTAGCGTACACTTAGGTTTGTCGCAGGTGGGAGATATCCTCTCATTTATTTAACTAATTAATAATTCAATTTTGGCAATTTTTTTAAGAAAAAATGTATCAACATTTTATACAATTATTTATATGTTTGAATAATTCAATTACTTATTTTTAAATATATATAATATAAATATGAAGAAAAAGAAGAAAATAAATGTTGTGTTGAAAGTACATTTTATACATAATATTTGATCGAATCTTTTTCGTGCAAAATTGCATTATTATGTGTATCGTATTATCCTATGCATGTTACACTGCTATATCAGGTAAGGGAAATTCGCATTAATCCGGCAACTATTGACGGAAACTGTTCGTATGTGCAGGTGGAATTAACGGGAAACAGCATATTCGAGTACATTTATCCGGAAGATCGCAACGAGATGGTTTCCGTGTTGAATCTTCCGCAGAGCCCAGCGGATTTAGCGGGTTTCACTTTCCCGCCACCGAATTCGCGAGGTGAAATCGAGCTGGAACGTGCCTTTCTCCTCAGGATGAAGTGCATCTTGGCGAAAAGGAATGCGGGTCTTGTTACAGAAGGATATAAGGTAAATAAAGAAGAAGAGTAAAAGGAGATAAAGCTGGATCACATGCAATCTAGTAAATTACTAGAATTTCACAGAACGTAGAATTTTGAGTAAGTTACTAGATCGCGAACTAGAAGCGATCTAGCATGCAAAATAGCATTGTATTCTTTAGACTTAATCAATTTAGAAAGGTTGAAACAAGTTTGAATTCCACGCATACTGCACTAAATCTAATGTCAAATTTAACCTAATGTGAATCGCCACTTTCTACTCAACTATATTGCTATTTTATACTAAAACAATAGTTATATTTGACACTATACAGTGCCAAATTTAATCGTTTTAGTATAATATATTTAGTAGGAGCAGTGGTGATTCGCATTAAGTTAAATTTGATACTATAAGTAGAGATTTAATAGTATGCAACTATTTGTAGCACTATAACTTTACTTATTATTATTGTACTAAAGATAAAATTATACTATAATAAAGATAAAATAAGTAGTGCTAAGTGTAAGTAAGAAATGTTTTACAAATCTTACTTGTTCAAAATACAAATTAAAAAATTAAAATAAAAATCACTTTTTAACTTCGAGAATAAATTAAATATAATTATAAATCGAATATAAATATTGCAAATAAATATATTAAGCTTCCGCGGTTATTAGCACGTAAATAATACATTTAAAAACAATAAGATATAATTTGCGAACAATTAGAATATACTTATATCAACGAAGTTAACTGCAAACTCTGAATAGTCCTCTCCAGTGCGGTAGTCAATGTTGATAATTTGTACTTGACTTCCATATTTACGAGGACTCAAATCCAAAGTTTTCAGTTAACTCTGTTGGTAAGTATATTCCAATTGCAAATTATATCTTGTCGCCTTCTATCGCCTTCACTGTTAAATCTATAGTGTAAAATTTAATCTACTTTAAGTCGCCATTGCTCTTACTTAATACATTGTTATATACTAAAATAATTAAATTTGACATTATATGATTTCAAATTTAACCATTGTTTTAGTATAAAATAACATCAAATTAAATTTAAGTTAAATTTGATATTGATATTGTAGATTCAAACTGTGTAAATATATGTATTTATTATTTACGCATTAACAATCGCAGAAGCTCATATAAGTAATTTATATTTGACAAATTAAAAATTTTTAAACATAATACAAGCTTACGATAATAATTATAAAAATGGGAAACAGTGATCGTTCTTTATAAAAACACGAGAGAAAGAGAGAGGAAAAGAGAAGAGAAGGCAGTTAAACATAATTTGTTTCGCTGTTTTATAATCCGAGATTTATGGCAGATGAAAACAGATTAAAGAAAGGATATGTCAGTTGCGATTAGTATTTTTATATTATATGTGTACAAAATCATAAACAGTATAAATATTAAATAATAGATGATCTAATGATGACTATATAAGTAGGGTTGTAATTGTCCCAGTCACGTTCGGTTCTAGTCAAACAGGAAGCACAACGGATTAAACGAACAGATGGTAAAAGCTCGCATCTAATCTACCTAAGAAAACATTTTATGCTTTTGATGTATTTCTCTTTCAATCTTTTTTAACAACTTATTGATAATGTTTATAATATATCAATACATATATGAAATAAATTTATTTAATATATAAAATATATATAAAATAAAATAAATTAATGCATAAAATTAAAACATATCAATATATCAAGTATTTATCAATATTTTACGAAAAAATTTAAAAAGAAAAAATCACATTATATTTAAATCTGTATTTAAAAATACAACAAATTGATGTAACATCTATATTGTTTTAAAATAATAAATAAAAAGAATAAAAATTAAACACAAATTGTAATAAGCTTCACACTAATTTTTTAACTTTATTATCTTATAAATCAATTAATCTTTAAAATTAATTAAATAAATGTTTATTAATATTGTTCACAAATCCTTAATTAGTGAATTAATTTAAAAAAGGCCTGTTTTAAGTATTATAGGTACATAATGTTAAAAAATGTTAAACAATGTCATACTATTATATTATATCATTATATGTATACGTGTGGAACTTCACATTTGAAAGATAAAGTCGAGATGCAATAAAAATAATTTTTTTTCCATTACTCTCTTTCTCTCAACAAGCTATAAACATACGTGCAACAAAAATCAATTTCAATCAATAAGTTATATTATCGAAACTATTAATCAGATTTATGCAACCCATCGTGCAAATGCGAAAAATCGCATATAGACACTAATCCCGATTTATGAACGGTGACGCCTTAATTTTCCGAAATCGAGTAAAATTGTCCGCATTAACTTTCCCTGTGTGTCGTTAAACTTTCGACATATGCTCGGGCAATAACGGACGATACTATTGTTCTGAGAAGGGAGACGACAAGAGGAGGTGAAGGGACCTGCGATGTACCTTACACTTGCTAACCGAGGAAAGCAATCCTTACAGAGGAAAATGTTTGACAAATAGCTCGTTCTGGCCACGATGATGTTAACCCTCAACGAAATCACGCATAAAAATCCCCAATGGTGTCAAGCATAGTCATGAATACAACCCCTACGAGCTGTTAGATCAACCGAAAGAATCTTGGGGCTAGGGCGAATTTATCCCTATGGTACTTACATGCATAAAGACGGATTGTAGTTGGCTTTTCTTTTGTCGACGCGCGAACGGAAATGTTCAGATTAACAATTGCGTGAAATTCGAGTGAGAATCGAGAAAACTTGTTCCGAGTGCTTATCTGAGGATAATTTCGATAAGTCTTTTAAGAAAGATATTATACTCGGTCATCCTTGATGTCATAATACAACTTATCCACATCTGTTTGTCTTAAAAGCCACTGGCATTTTTAAGACTGCTAAAACTTCGGTGCAAAGATAAAGTTGAGAAGGAGTTACTTCTAATCTGGGCATTGCTATTAATTCAAAGTATCAATTCTTATACAGCACAGATCTTTTTTGCAATATTGCAGCAAACGTAAATTAACGTAAATTATAGACTTTTAATACTAGTACATATATATCAGAACATAATTTTCAGTCATAATTTCCAGCTTAGCAATCAGCAAGGTCACAAACACAAATAATTATTATGCACGCAATTCAAGCAAAAATGCATCGCATGTTTTAACTTGCTTTGTTCAACCAAACACGTGCGCGCGTGAATCTGCTACCGATGTGAGATTATGAGTAGTCGACCGTCCTCGTGTCAAACTTCTGCTCTTCTTTCGAAACTCTCTTCGAACCCTTTTCGCGTCACAATGCGCGCCGATGTACTAAAATTGCATACGAGGTGATGTATGCAACACGGTCATAATAAGGGGCTTATTTGCTTCACAAATTCGCCCTGCACTCGAGACCGGAGCGTGACGTTCAGCGAATCTTTTTTCGCGTCATCAGTCATTCAATTAAGCAAGAATTGTTAATTTACTGTTGTTCCACGCGAGTGTCCGTACTTCAACCGCGGCGCGCGAAAGAATCGCTTGAGTGTCGTACTTTACATACTCGGCCAAGAAATAACGTCGCGAATGCATTTCGAACCGCGAGTATGCATCAATGCGCTTTATGCACTCTAAGAATATTTATCGAAATAGATGGCATAAAAAAAAACAAAAAGATATTCAGATACTTTACTCAAAAAAATTGTGCTAATGTGCACACCGGTTTCTTTTTTCCCATTTTTCTCAGATATTATTCAAAGCTATTTTTAATCGATGTTAAAAGATATATAAATGAAATTTCAATTTAAAAAAAATTTATAGTACTACTTCTGTCTTTCTACAATCCTTAGAGTGGATTCTAATTCTAAAGAGTGATAAAAAGTAACAATTGAGTCAGTCTTGAAAAAAAGGGAGATTTCACTCTTTAGAGTTAGATTCTATTCGAAAGATTTTAAAAAGGTCGCTTCTGATTTTATATCATAAGAATATATTATACAGCATGTCCCAGAAAGAAAGATCAATATTCTGAGAGGTATCAGTCTGTTCGTATATGAATGTGTGATTGAACGGTTTTCGAGATTAAACATGCAGTTGCAAAATTATTGTTATAAGAAAGAGATACTACGTATTTTTTCTAATAATTCATTATTTAAAATGACACATCTTTTGCAATAATTTTTAAAATAATTTTTTAATTTTCTAATAAAATTACATTGTATAAAAAATTCCATTGTTAACATCAATGTATGAACCGCATTTAGAAGAGGACACACATTTATGTGAACACATTTTTATCAAAAATAATCGATACTCCCAGAATATGACTTCCTGGAACACCCTGTATATAGTCCATGAGTTGAAATTTTGTGGAATATAAATAGTAGAAAATTAAATAAAATGCTATCATTTCAAAATTTGATATATCATCTAATTTGGAAGATTATTAAAATTATAAAGCAAAATTATATATTTATATAATAAAATTATATAAATATAGTCTTTGAGAAACTTGAAAACGCAGAGTATGCATTGACAACCATTTTGATTTGATGTTTCAGGTCATACACTGTTCTGGTTATTTAAAGTGTGTCGTAGAGGCCCCTATTGGATCCGAATACGAGGACGGTGTTGGACGGTGCATCCGTAATGTCGGTCTAATGGCCGTCGGTCATTCACTGCCTACAAGCTCCATAACCGAAATTAAATTGAACCATAATATGTTCATGTTCAGAGCGTCACTCGATCTGAAACTCATATTCCTTGATGCTAGGTAAGATTTTACTGATATAGATATATATAATTTTTTTCAATATTCTCTAAAGATTATTAAATTTCATGTGTCAATCAAGGAAAATGATTTGTGTAAACTTAACATAATATGTAATATTATATATAAACTCTCAGAGTTTTGTACTTTTAAGATTACGTTTACATAGAATATTTACGTTATGTTTATGTTAAGTTTATAAATTATAAATCTTTTCCATATAGACACTAACAAGCAAACGTAATGAGTATAAAAATTATTGTAAACTGAACAATACACTATAAAAAGAAATAATTAAGTCTTATGACTGTTAATATTTCTGATTTTAATAATGATAAATAAAAAAATATATAAGTGAGATAGAAACTTTAGTTCAGTCTAATAAAGAACATAGGTTTCGATAATCCTAGATTGTTTACATAGATAACACGTAAAATATAATTTATATTGTATATATATAGATGTAGATTATTATATTTTATGGGTAAACGAATAACCTTATGTAATCTTAAAATATACAGCACAACTCTGGATCAGAGGTAGAATCTAGTAAGAGAGAGAGTGGAGGAATTGCAAACAGGGAGTAAACGCGAACGACACTATTATCTTATATTAGAATAGATAGTAATAACCTCTTATTTCTTACATCCAGTGAATAATCCGATATATACTCACTATAACGTGATCACAAAAAGCACACACGATTTAAGTTAAATACAATTACATGTTTTCAATGATTTTAATGTAAGGGAGAATAGGAGAGTCGCGAATGCTTAAGAAATAAAATAAAGTCAACAATTATTTATGAATTATAGAAGTCCTTATTCAAAGGATATTGATTTTAAATCACAATAATTAATATTTGTATGTTTACAAATATTAATTAATTTAACTTTAAATAAAAAACAGATTCGGCATTGTCTCAAGTGAGGGTAATAATTCCGAATGGCAAGATAATTGATAAATAATCATTGTCTTTATTTACTTTTCTCTTAGAGTTTCCCTATTCTCCCTTCTGATGACCATAAAATTTATCATTCTCACAGAAAGCTACGGGGAAATTCCTCTCATCATTAATCCTCTATTATTAATTGTATCTAAAACGTAAAGATTTTTCGGTTAAAACAAATAATAAACCAGAAAATTATGCGTTCAATGTAGAGATATGAATAAAATGCAATATAATACTATAAATATTATGATAACATTATTATATTTAAGTTCATATATGTATAATGTCTATATAGTATAAAAGGGCAAAAAAAATTATTTCTTAAATAAATTTTTTTTTCTGGGGCCGGATTTCCTCACATTGCGCGTTACTGAAGGAAGCGAGCGGTGTTGACTCGAGCACCGGGACACAGTGAATTATTTATTTCCAATGTAATTATAGTTGGGTGTCGTATTGCGCCATTAATATTTCGATGGAGGGCCCGCGCGGTGCTCCCGGTCGAGAGGGATACGGCCATTAAAATCAGTTTCGTGTTACCGCGCTGCCGCGTATCCTCTTTTTTTTTCCTCTCCATCCGCGGCAAATAAATATCCACCACCGGCGGTTCTGGCGAGCCCTACACACCCGCTCGCTTGCACTGGGAACGAACACGTGACGCAGTATAAATATAGCACGGATAGAAGCGCGATGAAATTTTATACATACCGTCGATCGGAATCGGCTCGCGCGGATTGTGCAAACTCGCGACGTTCGCACCGTAAATCCCGACGAAAACAAGCCCGATCCGCGGAAAGCGATCAAGGGACCTATCTCTGTGGCCTTTTGGACCGTACCTCTGCGTTGGAACATTGCGTGATTGATGTCGGGTGTTGCGAGTTACACAGGGAATAATTGCTTTTTTGTACAATATACGTGTTTTTTTTTACATTGAAAATAAAAAAAAAATAAAAAATTAAATAAAATAGAAAAATTAAATTAAATAAAAACAAACTTTTCAGAGAAGATTTCCAATGATTCTTTTTAAATAAAATTAAATAAACTCTCTAAAGAAAATTCTTTCTAGTGAAAAAAATATTAAACTTTTTAATAACGGTATCTGTATAATCTCTTTCGTGTTGTTACAGAGTAACTCCACTAACAGGCTACGAACCGCCAGATCTAATTGAGAAAACATTATATCACTATGTGCACGCATGCGACATTCTGCAGCTACGACACGCTCATCATGTTCGTAAGTGTTTCATTATGTATTAATAGATGTAATGTTAGATTTGTTTTCTTCTTCTTTTTCTTTTTCTTCTTTCTCTTAATTTAAGGCAGGCACTGTAATTCTCCACTTCCATGCCTCTTCTAGTTTCGGTCTTGAGACGTTCATACGAGTTCATCCAACACTTAGCCTGCTCAGAGATTTTTTAATTTGTGGCTTCTTGTTTTTCACTATCTTTGGCAATCACTCGTTGCCTTGTCATGGATGTTCCATTCTCGTTTCCTTCTAATTCATCGTACTACGTCCGGGGTCTTGCATCTTGCCGTATTATGTCGTTATGTATTCTGTTACACAGAATTGACACCTGCTATCCATCTCAAGATCTTCATTTCTATCGTTCTTATAATATCCATTTAGTTTCAGCTCTTGTTGCGTAAGCCAAGATTTGTTTTCTATTACTGAATTAGTATACACTTTTAGAAATTGAAGTAAGATAGATACATACATATTTGATATTTGATGAAAGCGAGAAAGAAAATTCTAGTGCAAGAACAAAACTAGATCTAATATTACAATTTATATTATTGAACGAAAATTCACTAACAATAATTTCACTGTAATTGTCATTTAGAACTCTCTGCTTAGTGATAAAGTACAGAATAAATTTATCTTTTATGTCACAATTTATTTATGTTTCTTTAAATAATTTAATTTAATTCTCCTTCTCTTTCAGTTACCTATTTTAATAAATTTTAATTAATAGACGTATATCTTTTAATTTTCAGCTTGCTATAGACGCATAAAAATATGTACTATATTTAAATGTTATTTACTTGTTTCAAATATTTCAAAAGTTTATGAATCCACAAATCTGTCACGGGCAAATTTATTCAAAATATATTCTGAATTGTAGTAGGTTTAATACTTTTCTCTCTCTCTCTCTCTCTCTCTCTCTCTCTCTCTCTCTCTCTCTCAATTAAGATTATTAAATTACAACAAATTTGATTTGCTTATTATGTAAAATCGTTCCTTCGGAAAATTTTATAATATTCTTCAAAAGAAAATAAATTCTTATTTTGAATATACATATAGATTTTTTTTATGTATAATATATATTTTATGTATAAAATATATTTTAAGACATATCAAGAAAATATTCTTTGTTGAAGATAATCGTTACTTACAAAAAAGTAAAACTGAGTAATTACTTTTATTAGCAATAGGATGATATTTTTCTCTATGTAATATTTCGTTTTATATTAAAATGTGTTTTTTGAAGGCATTTATTAATAGAAAAAAGTTTCCTCTGATTTTTCCTTTCATATAATACGCGCGATTAAGTACCAGTCACAGCATCTCTCTCTCTGCTTTTAGCGGATTATGCTCTTACATTTTCGCTCGTGTTTTCCCGATTTAAAGGTCACCTATTTCTGTCTGAATAATATCACCGAAACACAAACCGGAAAATATTTTCCTTCGATAGTTTCTTCGTTGACCGACGGTCCGTCGCAGATTCTCTCAAACGACGTCGGCACAATATGTCGATGAGGATAAGCTCTTTGTGAACCAAGAGTAGCTGACGCTGCTTAACTCAACTCGACACCCTTACGAAACATCCTTTGATCTTACTTCGCGTGCTACTCGTGCACGGACAGCTATCGTCCGTATATTTTTCGCTCTTTCTTATATGTTTTTTCTTCAGAGCGACATCACGCGCGTTTATTCTAAGTATGTACATATGTGGTGCATCTAGGGTGTAGATTATTGATTGAACAACGCTGCCACAGCGCGTCGACGAAAAGAGGCGGCTGCTGGGTGCGCATCTATACGTGTGAAAGAGAGAATGAGAGAGAGAGAGGGGGGGAGGGGGTGAGAGTGACGATAAGAGCGGTGCGCGGATAGAAGGGAGAAAGGTTTAGCGAGAGGTGTGAGCGAGGTAGGAGGCTGTTACTGCTATCACTGTTTGAACAGACTCGCAGTTTCACGAGCGCAAGGGAGTCTGACATAATGCCACTAATGTCTGCGCCTGAGGATTGCTCGACGTCGCAAATATCATACCGCTCGATTTTTTTTTTTTGTGATTGCGCGTGATGGTAGCTACGCCATGAATATCCACAAGATTTTTTTCTTGAGAAATCGCAAATGAGAGACAATCCTTTTTGCATTATAAAAATTGTTTTCTTTCAATTTCGGATTTTTATTCCCGTTTATTTTTCATTCTAATGCCATTATCAGAGATAGCAGCAAACTAACGGTTACGTCTGATTTTGAGTGATATCTCTGATTATTCAATAACACAATTCACAGAACAATCAGCATTTTCTTTCGTACATCATTCTATTTTATTACTTTACTATCCATCAATGCAATATTTGAATGTAATTTAAATTATATATACAATATAATCAACAAAGGCTTTAGTTATAAATAATAAGAGTCAAAACAAGGAGCGTATAAGCGTAGTACAGGATATTTTTGCCTAATTTGTTCTTTATTTATATATATTTATTGTCAAAATAAAGAACAAATTAGATTAAAAAAACCAGCACTAGACTTATATGTTCCTTGTTTGGACTCTTATTAAATTATATATCATGAAATTTTACATCAAGTGTGTAATTAGTTTACTAATTAATTGTTAAAAGCTGGTGGAAATTATTACCCTGTTGACAGTGTTGAGGAAAGGTCAAGTGACAACAAGGTACTACAGGTTTCTGACAAAAACTGGTGGTTGGGTATGGATGCAGTCATATGTGACGATCGTGCACAATTCACGTAGTTCGCGTCCGCACTGCATTGTGTCCGTGAACTATGTGTTGACGGCTACCGAAAACACGGGCTTAGTTTTGAACTGCGAACAAAAGTCATCCTGCTCGAGCCCAGGAAATCCGCCAAGCGCTCCCGTGTCGACGCCCGTGACTATTGGTACGAATGACCTGGACAATCACAGCCCAAGTCCACCTTCTTATCGTAGCAGAACCAGGGAACCGCCCGATACTGATTATGCTGACAGTTCCGGTTATCCCAACTCGGAGTACATGACAGGTTCGACCAATCACAGCCATTACCCGTCGACCTATGCATCGCACAGTATTAATGGTGCCCAGGAGGATAGCGCTTACTACAGTTCAGATTTGTTCTATCCGTACAGTGGTAAGTCTTATAATTAGTTCATATCTTGGAAATTCATTTGCATTTGGAAATGTGCGCGTAAATTAAAATAAATGGAATTATAAATAAAGTCCCACGATAAAATATAGTTTTTCTAAAGTAGTCTTTAGATTCAGTAACGATATCTTTTTCTTACAAATTATAAACTATTGAATTTTTCTTACAAATTATGAATGTTAAATTATACAGTCCAATAAAGACTAAACAAGATACGCATTCTTTTTTAGAAGAAGAAGAGAAGAGAGAGTGGTTATTTCCTTAACTTCTAATCTTAAATACTATTATACTTTATAAAATATACAGTCAGACATACAATACATATAACGATATAT